ACTTAAAGGACCAGTTACTGAGGCTAAATCCCACTGAAAGAAGTGTGGGCAGCTTTTTTTTTTATTGCATCATACCACATTACATGCTAATAGTCTAACATTTAATGTAGTGTGATATAATACACATGTAATGGCTACGTGCATTGGGGTGTCATTAAGAAACCCTGGCAGCGCAATGTATCTAACATTGCAACATGTGATATGGGATTGTGTGTGGCATCACTTGCATTCCCTCAATACAAAGGCATAAACGGGGACCTACCGGCATTTATGACCTCTCTAGAGTTTGCAATACTCCCCCTGACAATTCCTGCCTCTGTTTTTCTCTCTGGAAGGACACAGCTAACTTTGTTCAGACATTATGAAGGATTAGCATCTACTTCCTGGACTGAAGGACTGGCTCAGGGATCAGGGCCATTCGTATAATGAGGCAGTCTGAGGCGGCTGCTTTAGGCAGCATCTCATTAGCTCACGTGGGGTGCGCCTGCCACCCCCTTTCCAGCCAGAGTGTCCCAGTTGCTAAAACCTCTTAGCAAACTGTGACGCTGTGGCCGGTGTCCCACCAGTGGCATCAGTGAGCTGGACGGGATGACATGCACCATGAGTTGCCCCCCAACTCCCCCTGAACGTCCACCATAAGCTATATCTCCCTACGCCCCCCCCCTTTCCCCCGAACATGCACCAGGAGCAATTAACCGTCCCAACCAACTACCATTCCCTGTCTGGGATATTCTTGATGAGTTTAAAGTCTGTTATAGTCTTAGTGATTGCATGTGAAAAATGTGAGGTTCGGCATTTACAAAAGCCTACTAACTAAATAATCAAGAAGGCTGAAGAAGATAACAAAATATTTAACAAGTAAGAAACAGACTTTTTAGAGTTCCTCTTAAAACAAGAGAATGAAACAAACCAAGAAAGACTATTGCATTGACATAATCACCCTTCCATGCCATGTGGTACAAGTTAAATAACAAATGTATGCAGTCACATCCACCCATTGGGTTTAATAAAGGGTTAGGCTAATGTACTGTGACAGTAATACATGCACAGGCCCTCACTAGACGAATTACACAATATAATGTTACTTGCCCCTACAATCTCTAAACTTTCAGGAGACAGTCTATTTTCCTCGGCATTAAAAGAGAACACAGAGATTTGCAAAAATAATTATTTCCATATGCGTATCCCAAAATTAGCAGAATACTTAAAGAGAAAGGTTGGATCACATTTTTCTTTTGCTAAAATCACTATTTTGGAAATTTGTATTAATTTGCATTACTTACAAAAAAATAATAATTTTTCTTTACTAACATCTTAAACCCGTATATAATTATTTGAAAATCATATATTGCTGTTCTATAATAATAGCTATATAAATGAACAAAAACATTCTATCCTGCTGAGGTATCAATCATTATTACAGCATATACATGCTTTTTCTCATTTTGTTTCTTATTCAAATTGAAAACCATGTTATTTTAAAAGAGATGATATATTTAACTTTGAGGGTGTGAGAAGGTTGGTGGGATATCAGTGCTGATATTTGACTACCAGTCTCTAGTACCAGTAGAGACATAAGTGCCAAACATTGCAACCTGACATTTTAGTTCTAAGCATAACCAACAAGAGATGTCAGCTATAACTCTTCCTAAGGCAGGCTGCAGCACAAAAGCTTAGTGTTTAGCACTTCTACCTTGTAGCACTGGGATCCAGTTCAAATACCGGTCAGGATGCTATCAGGATGTTCTCCCTGTGTTTGTATAGCTTTCTTGCAGGTCAGCCCTAGTATGTATGTATGTATGTATATGAGTTTGGGAGCTTGGATTGTAAGCTCCTTAAAATCAGTGAATGTGCAGTATGTAAAGTGCTCTGTAAATTGTTGGCGCCATAATAAATAAAGGCAGATTGGGGTCACTTCCCTGGGAGGTAGGAATAATTTTACTGCATTTATAGGTTTTCCTCATGATAAATTTCTTATCAAAATGGTCAATTCACAAGCATACCTATATGTGCTGAATCTGTATTATTATTATTATTATTATTATTATTATTATTACAAAAAATGAATATGTATCTATTTCTCACATGACTATATTTTACCTCTATGTGAAATAGCTCTATTCTCTGCTTTCCTAAATAATCACCACAAGGAACCTCCCAAAAATCACAGGTTAGGAGCTAGTGATATTTTAAGGAGTGATAATGTGGGATAATCTCTATAGTCTGATTTTTATATACATTTGTACGGTAAAGAGTTTTGAAGTGATGCGGTAAAAGACGGCAGAAAATACTGCATGTGGTATTTGCATTAATAAAGTGAGGTAATCCCTTAGACAATATGATGATAATATCACATGGTACAGCACATAACGCATGCAGTAAAGCTTTGCAAACTAAGCTATAGTCTGAAATACGAGCAAATTCAGTCACGCATCTATGATTACAGCCACGGCTGATACTGTGCTACAACGGATTTACTGAACTGTATCTTCTATGACATTCCATTAACAAAGAGAGCAAAGAACAGAGCACAGTGAGCAATGTCTACCCAACACTTCCCAACAACTAACGAAATTCTGTAGATTCGGCTTATCAAATATTTGACTGATCTTGGTATTGACAAAGCTGTGGCTTGGTATATATACACTGAGCATCTGATATAGCCAAGCGATTCATATAATGAAGGAATTTTTCACAATTTTCAAAATCACATCCTGTAATGTTCCATAAAATCTAGAGGCACTAAATCTGAACTCCTTGAAGATATAAAAGACACATATTGATGCGGCTCAGTATTTATTATGAAACCATGACATTTAGCGTAAGGGGATTTAACTTGATATCAGCCTCTTGCAGTCTCTGGTATGGCAGCACACACTCAGACTGGGAAAAGAAAGGGCTAGCAATGGCAGACAAATCAGTGCTGCATCTATAGGTAGTGACAATGAACACGCTGACAGAAGGAAAGAGCAGAGGGAGGACATAATCAATCTCCTGCTGCTCTTTCACTGTCGATTTAGCAGCCTAGGGTTGAGGAGATGACAGTACTGTAATCCCAACTAAAACAGAGACAGTGGTGTCATCCCCCTGCTGTGCTTTGTGGCAGGGAGTAAAATTCAAGAACAAATGAGAAGAAACTTAAATCCTTTGGCAGGTAAAACAGCTCCATTTATGTAAATCCATTTATACAATTTACAATTGTTGGCAGGTAAAACAGCTCAATTTATGAATTTTATCTGTGTGTTTAGATATTTAGATATTTTAGCTGTGTGTTTAGATATTTTAGAGTTCAGCTTTAAGACAGGGACAATCTATTCTTGTTCATGTGTCCCGTTTTCTGTGAAGAGGGTGTTCAATAGATGTGCCCCTACCTCTTCATTAAAACACTAGCCCGGTCTTGTAAAGTGAGCTCATTGATTTAGTACTTGCTGCAAATATTGAATTAATTAATTAATTTTACCTGAAAAGAATTACGCAAACAGAGCATGGAAATCTCTCAGGATTTTACATGTCAGTACTTCTAAAGGTGCTCATACACCTTACAATTATCTGCAGATTTTCTGTGGTCAGATGGAAAAAGTGCAACAGATTGGCCCAGGTGGAGATGACTCCATCCACACAGCTCAGTGTAGATGGAGGAATCCGTTGCACCTTTTCCATCTGACCACAGAAAATCTGCAGATAATTGTAAGGTGTATGGCCAGCTTAACATATAGTATAGTACTGTACCATGTACAGTATAGCACTGTACATCTCACAAAGGTTCATATCTGAGATGAAGGAGGTGCAGATTTAAAAGGAGCTTTGCCCTCCTAACATCACCCCTGTTTTTTAGTATTTTTTTTCTTTAAAGAAGAAAATGTGACATGGAATAAAAAAGAAGAACCTGAAAGGATAGCCTTTTTAGAATCTTTAAATTTAAAAAAAAATTCCCTGTCACTGGGCCATTGTCACAATGGCCATGTCAATCAGGCCATTGTTAACAGATCTATGAAATCCTATCAAAGCAGGGTACTGCAGTCTTTTAAAAAAAAAAAAAAATTCCAGTCAAAAAAAGAGAAACAAATCCTAAAATGTACTGTATTAATGTTTTTTCTTTAAATAAAAAATTCAGGGAAAACATTTTTTTCTAGTTGTGTATAGAGTGGGGAAAGTTTATCATCTCCGTCAGGTTGTTACTGCTGTCTATATACCAACTGGGCAGAGATCTAACCTCACTATTTGCCCTGGGGACCATTGTTACCAGAAGAAAAGAAAAAAAGAGATTAGAGAAATAATCTTTAGGGATACTTACAGGTGAAACTCGAATAATTAGAATATCGTGCAAAAGTAATTGCAGTAAGTGCTGCAAAAGGGGCCCAAACCAAGTACTGAGTACGAATGCATGCTTGTACTTTTCAGAGGTCCGATATTGTTCTATGTACAATCCTTGTTTTATTGATTGCATGTAATAATCTACTTTTTTGAGGTTGTGGATTTGGGGTTCTTGGGGTTTTCATGAGCTGTAAGCCATAATCATCACAATTATGACAAATCACGGCTTGAATTATCTTGCTTTGCATGTAATGAGTCTATCTCATATATTAGTTTCACCTTTTAAGTTGCATTAGTGAAATAAATGAACTTTGCACAATATTCTAATTATTCGAGTTTCACCTGTATTCTGGTGAAAAGTGACCCTCATTTTGGGGATATTTCTACTTAATTCCTGTGGAGTGTCTGGAGATACGAAGTGCAGAGAAATCAATCTCTCTGATGAGGACACAGACAGCAAATAAAACTGACAAAGGTTCCAACCCCTCCCAACAAAACATTGTTTTAGTTATACAGCAATGACTAATTAGCAATCAGTGTTGTGTAATGATGCTCCATTTGCTGCCATTTAATGCATCAACCTCAATGTAGCTTATATTTGCAGTACAAAGTATCAAAGTTTAGACAAAAATGTTCTATGAAAGCTGTAGGTAAATAATATAAATAGTGTGAGAAAATGGACTTACCCGAAGAAGTGACTGGGATTCCTCCTTGGACTTGCTATCCCCTGTAGCTAGATACTGTGGTGTAAGCGGTCCTGATTTTTCTCCACTAGCTCCAGCCGTCGTACATTGAAATCCCTTGGCATTGGCAGACAAGCCATACAGAGGTCTTGCTAGATGTGCAGCTTCAACGTTTGGGCTATTTCTTGAGGATTTCTGCTGCTCTTGGTTGACAGACACAGTGGTCAAAAGGCCCAGCCCTATCTGAGTATAGGAAGGGCTTTTTCTCAGAATGTCTGATCCTCTCCAGGCAACACTATGAAGGTCATCTACTGAACCATCAGACCAAGCTTTCTCCCTGAGCACGTCCTTGTCATCTGGCTTTTCCTTCTTCACAGTGCTGTCATATATGGCTTCTCCCATTTTAGAATCTGGGGTGACAAGGTTGTACACCTTCATCTCAGTTTTTGGCTCTTCCTTGATGGGAGGTGTCCCATGGACCTCTCCACCATTAGATGTAGTGATATCAGACTCCTGGCAATGCGCAGAGTTGAAGTGATCCAAAAGGGACTGGGTGTCAGCTGCTGTGAAGCTACACTGCCGACACTTGTAGCAGTTGTGAACCCTCCTAAAATAAAAAGAACAGAACAGCCATGATATAAAACCATAATTTAACCAAATCCGTGAGGCTCTAGCAATAACCATTACATGTCTAACCTTCAGCACCTCATCGTTAACTAGATTCCCTGCAACATGGACCTTTAAATTATAGCTAAACCTAAAAACAAAAATGTAAAATAGCAAAGCTTACAGGTCCTTAGTTGTTGTGTCTGCATAAGTTTTCAGAAGAACATTTTCAGCAAGTACAAAAGATACCTGTAGACCTTGCCAGAAATGCAGTATCACTGTAAAATTAAAAGAAAGCACAAATAACCTTATTTTTATTGTGTGAATAGAATGTGATGGAGATGAACAAAGGCAGAAATGTTTTAAGTCCAGTATGTACGACAACCATGTTCTCTACATAAATACAGTGAAGAAAAAAACATAGAGCTCAAGGGACAGGAACTGTGTTATTTGCAGGATTATCAGCTGAAAATAAAAGAAAAAAAGGCCTGAAAAAAAGAAAAGAAAACAAAAGCAGCCACCAAAACTGGTAAGCAAAAATAAAAATAAAAAAAACCTAAATCAAAAGTATGCCTCTGTAAAATTCAACCAAAATGCAATTTAAAGTAGTACTTCAGGCTGGGTGTTTTTTAACCTTCATGCAATCTCTGCATTAGGGTAAAAAACACCCAGTGCATTTTTCTGTCCCTCGTCCCCCCCACACTTACCTGTGAACAACAATGTCACCGCCGCCGGTCCCAGAAACCTTGGCTGCAGGAGGGGATACTGAGGGCAGAAGAGCCATAGGCTCCTTCTGCCGTCAGTCAATCTGTTGGGAGGAGAGGAGCATCGTGGCCTGCTACTTGCGGGCACGGCAGGGATCGCGCACATACGGGTCCTCCTCAGCAGCCAGCTAGCTGATGGAAGCACCCACACAGGGGGCGAGGGCAGAGCTATTTGGGGAACAACTAGAAAATGAGGAATTGAACATTTTTAAACAAAAAAAATGAAGGATTTTTATAAGTGTGGGCCTCCAATTGATTGAATTGAAAAACTAAACCATGAAGGTATAATATTTATTCAAATGTTACTTCTATTAGACTTAAAAAGGGTAAAACATTCTGTTCAATTTAAGTTTTTGTAGCCATCCATAACCCTGTTTGGGAAATTTCATCTAACTTCCTGTCCCTGTGACAGCATTAGAAAGGAAAGCTAAAAAGAAAAGTAAACATAATCATCAAAAAATATTGCACAGCAAACCAGAGAATGTCAAAAATACTTTTAAGAAAACCTTACAATAAGAGCACAAAATGGGCAATCGCATAAGTATCTCGATTATGAGCTAAAACACAAAATGGCTCACGTATTGTACTGTATGTTTCGCCAATAGACAGAGAGCTTTATCTACCTACTTATACAAAGTTGCACAATGTTCTCTGGGGTGATGTGAGGCATTAAATGATCTTTAATGTAAGACATGCTGTGAATAATGAGAAATCATACAGTTACAATGAGTCCATTAACACGCTGTATTGCATTCTGTTTACTGACATCCAGAGTTATGTCTTCCCTGATATCTCTATCGCAGGTTGGTGCTTATGTATTTGTAAAGAATTATTTAATGGAAGACTAGACAGGTTTAGCACACAATTGGCACAATATCATGTTGCTGTCAAGTCGATAAGAAAGTTCTATTGTTTTAAGTGTAACTGATGAATTACAGGCTGGGTAAAGGCGGTGTTGTCAGCCTTCAACTAGCAGACATCACCTCTCTTTCCACACGCCATTAAGAGCCAAAACATGATCGCTGTGTGACGAAGATAAGAAAACAGTTCAGGATGATTATTGAAAGGACTTATTTTTGTTTTTCTACCTTAGCACGTGGTTTAAGACACAAATAAACAAGGGAGATTTGCCAACGAGTGCTGTCCAAGGTAAAACTCAGAGGCTAGAACAAAAGCTCCACCCTGCCGAAAGCTCAGCCAGCTACTGGATTAAAGGGTATGTACAGCCTTTTTTTTAAATATTTAAACTCCTTTCTCCATATTCTGGAGATGCAACAGGAAACAAGAGGGAATTTCACAGTAAGTGAGAGAAATTCAAATCTTAGAAGATTGTTGTTAGAATAATTCCCCCATTGGATGAGTTTCCTCACATTACACTCTGGTGACTCCTCTAAATTTTTGGATTTCACCTCACTTTCTATGTCAGTGACAATGGTCACCATGACAAAACAGGTGTGAATTTTCCCACCAGAGAACACATACAGCAAAAAATCAAAAGCAGCCATTCTAAACCAGGGTTCCATGGAACCCTAGGGTTCCTCCAGAGATGTCTAGTGCATTCCTTGAGCTATGACCGATTGACCTCTTATTTGATGGTTGCTTCATAGTTCCAGGGCTAACGCTACTTGGAAGAGCCAGTGGCATAACACCAATAATCTTTGTATTTGCCTGTAAGAGTGGAATTCTGGGAGTATTCTTCCTTTTAACCACCAATACAAAAGGAAATGTTTTCACTAATCCCAGATGGATTGGTTTTATCAGGATTTCTCCCAGACCTGCCAATTATTTTAAGGGTTACTCTGTGGTAAAAAGGTTGCTCTAACCCTTCCCCACCTCATCTACAAAGAAACCCAAAAAACTTTTAACCTGGTGTTCATCCTTTTGTTTGCCATGCTTGCTTTACACCTATAGATGCTATTTAGTTGTCTGCCATTCTGGCTTAACCCCATGGATGCCCCTTTCCTCATCTAGAGGGTCTGAACTTCTGTTGTAGGCTATTTCTGGTCCTCAACACTGCCCTATGTAGCTCTCGGAGGGAGATGTGGGATATGACAGAATCCAGTAAACATCATCTGTCCTGAAAAAAAAAATGGATGAACCAGGCTGCTCTGGATTATTTCAAATGTAACTTAAGGTAAGCTGAGTTGATCTAAAGTTAACTCCAAACAAGCAGCTGAATGCACAGTTAGATGGGACCTGTTTCACCTGTAAAACTATTTGAAATCCTCTTCAGCCAGCATTATGATCCATGCAGCCCTATTGGACAACAAAGTCAGATTCTCTGCCTCCACTGCAGTAACAGGAAATATTTGATCAAAATATTGGTCAAAATACACCCCCTTGTCTGCTGAGGTTGCTGATTTGACTGATGATGTCACTGATTTGACTGTAAGGTCATCCCTCTGCTAATCCTACCCTCTTCTGTTTTCAGCACATGTGCACTGCAGCAGAGCCTGACTGGTTGTCCCCAGTGCGTGTGCTGCTGTAAAGAGGATTAAATGAGGCAGATATGAAGCTTTTTTCATTTTATAATGAATACATAAATGTATTAAATTATTGTGTGTGTGTGTGTGTGTGTGTGTATGTGTATGTGTGTGTGATTGTGCAAAGCTTCAGCACTTCCTGGAAGTGTAAAAGCTTGACTCCCCCTCCCCTTCCCAACTCCCACTCAGTTAAAAGCATACTCCACCTTTGTGACCATGCTAAATATGGGTGCAACATGAAAAATGGTCACATTGCACAACCCCCTACCCTTAAACTACGTCTCCACCATGCCACCCAACTGAATACCAGGGTGCCACAGCCTTCTGTTTTCAACTGAATTTGGCACGTCAGTACGTGACTCCGTCCACACAGCCGCATCATTTATCCACAAGGATCTGTAAAGGGGGGAGGGGGGCTACAAGTCCCATCCACCACCATGGCAGCAACTTGTAGATTTCAATGGAGCACAAGTGTGGTGACATCACTGTACTTGTAATCCACTGATTACTTCCTACAGTCCCATAACCAAAGGTGCATACTGAGGTGCGGACCTGGGGCTGGGGGAAGTGCCCGGAGGAGCTTGTGCAGGGCACCAATAGTTAACTGATTGTACTTGCAATGCTATGCAGTTTTCAATTCAAAAATGCAGGTGCCTTAATAAAATGTTTGTAAAAGCTGGACTATGCCTTAAATTCCATCCAGTTAGGAGTTAGATTCAGTTAACACATGAAAGTGGGGAGAAGAAGAGGGAACAGATGTCATGACAGCCAGTTAGAAAGGCAGCTGCATATGGGGCCTTCTTATTGTACAGTGTGAGAAGAATCACGGGTTATGTAACTTAGAGAAACAGTAGAGGAAATAAATTCTGAAGCTCTTCTTTGTCATCGTTTCCTGACCAACCTGAAGCTGTGTAGTGGAAACCTGTGAAATTAGGTTTTTCCGTGTTACAGCATCAAAACATTACAGCACAACACTTTCATATCAACCACAAATACAAACAGAACTAGAAGTGTATAAAAAGCAATGACACTGTGCTTAATACAGGAAACAAATGCAATTCGGTAGTGCACAAAGAAATTTCCCTCTGCATCTGTGTTATGCTGCATACAGTCGTTTAACTGTGCTACTCGTGCATCCAAACAGAGCCAGCTTTATTAAACTCACAAAGAATATTTAGGGCAATGATGCCAATCCATTCCCTTAAACACAATGACAATGTGGCCACAATGTATGCACTTCTTACGATTTTCTTGCATGAATCATTTCTAACCACTTACTACTATGGTAGCCTTCTGCACAAAAGGCCAAATTAAACCATTACAATCTCTGTTGTAGAAAGTTTACATTTCTTAATAAAGTCTTTAGAAATTAGCAGGGTTATTCACAAAAGGGTGAAGAGTTTGGAGAAGGCAGGAGAAGTGAACAATCTAGGAAAACATAGTTGATTTGGAAAAATTCTCCAATTCAGCTCACTTTCCAGTTCAGCTATGTTGTCCTAGATTGTTCACTTCTCCTGCCTTCTCCAAACTCTTCACCCTCAGGTGAATAACCCTGTTAGAATCAGATTTGGTGATGTCATGTCTGTTCTCACTGTTTTACTTGCTGGAGAGAAAGCTGTACCTGAGGACCTGCAATGCAAGGATCCAAACAGAGCCAGCTTTATTAAACTCACAAAAAATATTTAGGGCAATGGTGCCAATCCAATCCCTTAAACACAATGACGATGTGGCCGCATTGTATGCACTTCTTACAA